ACGCAAGTAAGAATTTATTGTCATTGTGGTGTAATGAATTTAATTTTAGACGTTTGTGGATAAAAATAAAATTCAAAACACAATTAAAACGCAAGTAAGAATTTATTAACGTGGTGAATTTAATTTTAGACGACCAAACATAACCTAACCTAACCAAATATCACATTGTACTGAACAGACCAACTGCCCGAATGGCTAATAACCTATAACAACACACCCCCTTACACACACAAAATCAACGCACATGGATGAGGCGTCGATTTCTGGGCCGCGACTGATGCCTGACTTCTCTGATAGGCTGCGCTGAGGTCGGGGTTGCTGCTGGCGAATTGCGATGGCTTGAGGTCGCTGTCGGGGGATGTGGGAGAGGTCGCTTTCTCGTCCTTCCCTCCAGGCTGTTGCTTTGGAGTCGTCCACCAAGTCTTCAAACTGCTAAATACGCTCTGTAACGACGTGTCTCATGAGTGGGCGGGCGGGAGGGTGGATAAATAGATAGACAGACAGACAGACGGCAGATAAATAAATCGACAAAACAAACACAACCACCATATACAGTATATATAAAACGACGACAAAACACAAAAATCCGCAGAAGTAAACACAGACCTTAATACCGTTGATATTCTTCTGCGTGTCCTTGAGGTTCTCGTTAATCGTGTCCAATCGCTGCTCAGTGTTACCAAGTTGTTCCCGTTGCTTGACCAGTTCCTGCGGGGGAAATAAAACGTTGGGTTTATTCCCACTGACCAGCTATAGGGGGGGGGGGGGGGTCGAATTTATTCCTCGATATGGAGCTATGGGGTTCGGAATTTAATTCCCCGGCGTTAGGTTAGGTTGAGAATTTGTCGTCGGTATTAGCTATTGGGGGTTAAAAATATACTCAAGGGTTAAATCATCATACTCAAGGGGTTAAATCATACCGCGTCTCTATACCAACCTTCTCCCGACTCGTGGAGCATCTCGATCGCCTTGACTTTGACTGTAAAGTAATCGCCGGCCCTGACCTGAAAATAAATCGTCGAATGCCATAATAAATTCTGGAAATTGGCTGTGTCGCTGGCTGCCTTTACATTTGTGAGAGAGAGACAGCAGGCAGAGAGGGAGACAGACAGAGAGAGAGAGAGAGACAGAGAGAGAGAGAGAGAGAGAGAGAGAGACAGAGAGAGAGAGAGAGAGAGAGAGAGAGAGAGAGATAAATAAACACCCCATACAAAAAACCCTAAACGACAAATAATCGCCCGCAGACGCTCCAAGAGACATACAAACAGACTTCTAACCTGCCTCAACTGTCGAAACAGCTCCTGGCGCCGTAGATCCGCCTCCTCGGCCGCTCGCTGCTCTGGGCCCGGCGGTAGTCTGTCAGCGGCCAGATACGTCGCGCTCGAACTTGACATAAACTCTGACCAACGTACAGGGGAATGGTCAGTGAATAATACAGTTACGATGATGATGATGATGATGATGATGATGCAGTAGTAATAATAATAATAATAATAAAAATAATAATGATAATAAAAATAATGAAAAAAATAATGATAATAATAATAATACTACAATAAAAATAATAATAATAATAATAAAAATAATAATAATAATAATAATAATAATACAATAATAATAATAATACGATGATAATAATAATAATGTGGATATTTGTCCGGTTATCAGTTAGGTTAGGTGAGGGTTTTTTTGACACAATATCCACCATCTCTTTTGGCTGACTCTCTGCCTATAGCCCCAAAAATACATAATTAATTATTAAAACAACATAATTAAATACACAATAAACATTTAAATATAAAATAAACAAATAATCACGAAGTCAAATTTATATGACTCACCTGAAGTCATATCATCTTCATCTAACATCGAAAATGCTGGTTTACTGGGGTTTAAGGCGTACCCTCCGCTTCTATACGCCATTATCTCCTTATTTGTGGTTATTTGAGGCCAATAAAGGGTCAATATAAGGCGCCACAAGGTTAAATATGAAGCCACAAGACCTCACACACTATCATCTGTTCCTGTTCCTGATGTTATTAATGGTACCACGAACAAGAAAAACGGGACTAAATTATTTATTATCAACAAAAATTAACATTATAATACAAATATGATCAATAAATAACAATAAATAACATAATTATATAAACAATAAATATTAAATTGTCTTTTTTTATATATCTAAAACAATATTGTAGGTTTATCTAATTTTTCTCGTAAATTTTATTCAACATTATGAGCAAGACTCAGCTAATGTTTTTCTGTGACGTCATGGTTATACAAAGAAGAGAAACTATTACGTCACCAGTTGTTGTTGTTGTCATAGTGCTGCCATCTATTGGTTGCACGCCGTAGAGATAGACAGATAGATATAGATACTGAGGTAGATAGATATAGATACAATGATATAAATATAGATAGATAGATAGGACAAGTAAAACATTAAATTTTCTTCAATATTTAATCGGAAACTTATAATACTAACAAATAAATTGAAATATTCCTAAAAAAATAAACAGGAATTCTGTAAAAAAAAAAATAAAACAATATTTGGTTAGGTTAGTGTTAGGTTAAGAAGGGTACCTATGATGTCTGGGTACATTGTATACCTGCACTGTCTATGGATATTGGAACCTGTATACCTACATTGTCTATATACATGGTGAACTGTATACCTACATTGTGATTTCTGAACTTTAAATATTATTATTATTATTACTTTATTATTATTGTTGTCTTAGCAAACTCTATACCACAAGAAATCATTGACCTGAACACATGTGTATAATCAAATTTAAACAATATTAAAACAGACTAAAACAATTTTAAAACAATTATCTCGATGTAATGATTTGTGGCAACGTCGATATGACCAGCCCCTGTAAACACACTAGTGAAGGGGACTGTACCTTGGCTATATGATGAGCCCCTGTAAACGTACTAGTGAAGCGGACTGTACCTATGTGATAAAGAAGAAATATATTGTATCATGCTGTGTACTAACCTAATCTAACCAAACATAAACTAGACTGACCTGACCTAACCTAGCACTAATCTAACATCATGTCACCTGACCTAACCTAACACAATCCCAACACAATTCTAACGTACAATTACAATCAACGTTCATTTTTTTCTCCTCAAGGCACTGGAACAGGACGTACTCCAGATGTCTTGCGAGAATATACCGGTCGTGCTGGGCGACAAGAGCGAGAAATACTCTATGAGGGTAAGTTTGGGCAGACACTGACCGACGTAGGCGTGTAGTTTATTCTCGTCGGGTATTGGAACGGTGACGGCCAAACGCCTCAGTTCGGGTATAGACGAGGCGGCCATCTTTGCCGCCTCCAGGGATACGGTATTGGACGTCGGCAGCACCAACAACTCCACGTTTTTCCAGCCGCCATCTTCCACCACCACTCTCAGAGCTTCGTCCAAGTTGTGTATCGTGGCCCAACAACAATGGACTTCCTTTAGGTTTTCCATCTTCGTATTTAAAACCTTAAATAATCTCACCGATATATTCTGTAGTAATTCTAATTTCTCGACCGTGGGAAAGAGAGGCTCGATGCTCTTCGTATTAGGGACGTCAAACCCGAAGCTGTACATCTTCAACACCAGCGTCTTGAGCCGACAACACTCACGACTCAGGAGTATAACGTCTCGACTCTCCAGAAGACAGGTGGTGATGTAGAGATACGTCAGCTGGGGGCCGTAAGTCGTCAGACTGAGGTCTTGAAATCTACAGACGCTTCCCATGGTGACGATCAACATCCTCAGGTTAGGTAATAATTTTAGAGATTTACCGACGGTTCTCTCGTTGCCGGGGTCACACCGCAGCGACACCACGTTGAGCTTGGGGCAGAGGATGGGCAGTATCTGTAGGGTACGGACGCTCACCTGCGGGTGGTCCAGAAGCATACAGTGTACGTCTAGAGTGCAACCCTGATAACTCGCCTGATAGAGAAAATGCAGAGCGTCCCGGAGGAGATATTCCGAACACTGGACCTGCTCGATCTCCGCCAACGACAACAACAACGCCACGCCCTTCCCCGTGAATCCCAACTGCTCTAGACTGGAGTCGTACTCGTCGGCGAACACGGAGAAGTAGACGCGTCTCAGTTTTTTACACATGGCCAGGTAGGCGAGTCCGACGTCCGTGACCAGGTTTCCGGGATCCTCCCTGGCGTCAAAGATCACGAGATGACGGCAGTTGATGCCCAAGACGGCCAGAAGGTCGTCCCCCACCAGAGACCCTATGACCAGCACCTGTAGGTTGGTCAGGTTACCGAGCAGCGGCAGGAACGAGAAGTACTGCATCCCCTCCTCGTCCTCCACCTTGAGGTGAGATACGGACGACACGGCGTTCTCGTGTCTGACGCTCTTCCAGTACTCCACGACTTGTCTCATGTTGGCGGCCCTCACGTGAAGTTGTCCCTTGGCGATTAAGATGGGAAGGAACAGCTGCGTCAAGAACGGGCGGTTGTAATACTCGCACGAGATGGCCAGATCGGCCAGGAGAGGCGCGGCCGGGAGGAGGTACTGGTAGACGGTCGCGACGTCCTTGGGGTTCTCCGGCTGCATCGGACTCAACCAGTTAACGAGGAAGTCGAGGGACGCGGTCTGTAGGCCCGGGACCTTCATGGCTCCCACGCCTCTATCTGTAAAGACAAAATATTCCTTTCTCACAACTCTTGACTATCACCTTGTACACCTAAACTACACACATAAATTACTATAATACTTTAATACTACTTTCATAATGCTTCAATAATACTGTAATAATACTCCCCCAATAATGAGCATTTTTATATAAGAAGTACAATAGAATAAAACTTGAAGTAGTATTTAATTATCTCCTGTTTCTCTTCACACCCAATCACCACCACATATTAAATGGTCATCACACCCAATCACCACCACATATTAAATGGTCATCACACCCAATCACCACCACATATTAAATGGTCATCACACCCAATCACCACCACCGGCAACTGCTATCATGGTATAAGGGAAATTTAGGCTAAATCATCTTCTCTGGATATTTACCAAAGGGTGAATGATAGTAATGAGAATCTATAGCGTTCTCCCCTATTAAAATCTCAACACTCGTGACACAAACCCTTATATTAAACAAACACACACATCAAATAAACACACACACACACACCAAACACACACACACACACCAACCTTCACATCAAACAAACACACACACACACACACACCAAACACACACACACACACACACACATCAGAAACACACACACACCAACCTTCACATCAAACAAACACACACACACACACACCAAACAAACACACAAACACATCTCCCAAACCCTAACCTAATCTTGGATGACTCAGCCGTCGATGTCAGCCAAGAAGCGGATGAAATGTTGACGTTGGAACCAAACTTAAAACCAAACAACTTGTGTCACCGGCCATAAGGACGGGGAAGGTCGTCCATCTGTTGTTAAGGAGAGAAAGATTAACACACAGTAATGAAATACATACTAGAATATTCCTCTAATTTATCTATCCATCTATCTATTTATCTACCTATCCATCTATCCACTTATCAGCATCGTCACCACACCCACATCAAAACAAACCCTTATTTTCCCACTTTAACTCCCTTATTTAACTCTATTTACCACTTATAAACCTTAAATAAACTCTAATTGATTTACTTAAACCTTAAAAAGTATAAAAAATTACTTAAAATCCCTAAAAAATGGGTTAATTAAGAGGATAATTTACGTGATTCATGGTGAAGTGACGCCTTGTTGTGTTTACATACTAAGGTCGGTTGTACTCCAGCATTAAGATGGCGCTGGGTTACTAGTATTTACAATTGCTATTACTACTATTACTTCTTCTACTATTCCTACTTTTATTAATACAACCGCTATTATTACTGATAATATTATCATTATTACAAATACTATTACTACTGCTACTACAACAACTATTATTATTACCAATTATAATTATTACTGTTACTATCACTATTATTACTACTGCTACTACTACTGTATTAGTAAAACAACTATTATTACTATTACTACTACGATTATTATTACTACAACTACTACTACTACTGTGAAGGTGGTGCTGGGTTATTAATATTTACTACACCCTCATGACGTCACATATCAAACCCGATGCCGAACCCATGACCCAAAAAATAGAACCTTAATTACAACTTATTACATATCTTCCAAGTCTTGGTAAATTTCTGTAGTTTCTTGTTTATTAATAATGGTTAAAATATAAATACCATCAATTATCAAATGAATAAAGGTTCTTTAATTAGTTCAAAGGGTTCATTTACTTCAGGGGTTCGAGGGTTCAGTATCATATGTTTATTCAGGATTCATAGATGTGTATATGTCCCAGATAATAAAACGATCCATTATAACAAAAACTTTTATTTCATTTATTTGTTTTAATACAAAATAACAAAAATATTAAAGATAATTTGGAAAAAACAGTTTTATTAAAAATTTTAGAAATCGGTAAAAAGTTTCAAGAATTCTTTTGAACGACACGAATCTGACACTCATCGAAACTGACTTTAGTTCCTGAAAATTTCCTCAGAGTTGTCAAATGAAAACTTCGACACAACATCTATCGATAACCTCAAGTTGCTATGACTCTCTACGTTATTTTGTCTCTTAAACACTACAGGTAAACACTACAGGGTACGATGATGTAGCTCTTGCGTGTTTTGCCGTCACACCACAACACACATTCATCGTTCCCGACCGTTTTAACTTTACCACTAAAGTAAGTCGCCGGTGTACAGGAGGCGTCGCTTTAAACAAACACTGTGGAATGAGTTTTATCGATGACACACCGCATCTGGTCGATACCCTAAGACAACTCTACAAGATAATGATATCATCGTCGTCGGGGGTGGCAGAACGGAGTTTTTTAGCCGGCTTGCGTTCTTCATCCTCCTCGATCTTTCTCTTCTTGGCTGCGTCTTGTTCGTCATCCAGACAAACCAGATCGTTCTCGTCGTCCGAGGGTACGGCTGACGACGCCCCGGCCCCTGTAAGTAAACAGAAACACCGCTATCATTTACCCGCAATCCCACCAAGTTAGTCCTTATATTAAGCTACAGTTATCATCACCCCGAACTGATCTTACAAGCCAGTCACTTGCCACGGATAAAACCTCGAGATTCTCCAGTTAACAGTCTCAAGAGCAGGCCGGAGGGGGTAGGGGGAGGGGTGTGTGCTTTGGACGTGCGTAATTCCCCAGTCATCTCCGGAGCTTCCCTTCGACGCCACTGGACCACAACATCACCACTTCACCCGATAAATACTTAATTTTAACGATCTGTACACGCCAGAGGTACACATCACATGGTAGTTATCATTACCTGCACTAATTAATTATCCTTTTCATCTGTTTTTAATCATATGGGTAATATCTAGGTGTTTATCCAATCCATATCCTAACCCAAGTCACTTTCCAGTCATAAAACTAATCTCCAATCAATTAAAATACCCAATCAGAGAACAGACATGTGGGTATTTTTACAAACTGCGTCATCATCGACCAATCGCATTCAAGTTATTTTCTTTACTCCGACAAGGATAAACGGACGGACACCGATAACGAGACTGATATTTCTCAAGGTGTTGTTCTAGTGTACAAGAAACCCCATAGCTCCACTGAGTTATGGGGTCCAGTGTGGATATTTCTACTCGTTGTCTTAGCATTTTATTCTCACTATCTCACAACAACATCTCACGATCAATTTCACCCCCCCCCCCTCTCCCCCCCAAAAAAAACGTCAATTGGACCCCATACCTGCAGGACCGTTGCTCGAGTCACCAGCATCTGTGTCCATCTTGGCCTGTTCTTCCTGAGCCTTCTTGAGCTCGTCTGGGTTACCGATCACCTCGAATTCTACCCCGTCTTCTAGTTTGTCACTGTCGGAGAGAGAGTGGAGAGATGTAAGTGTAAATGATCAAATTGTAAAAAAGTGTAAATTATTGAATTATAAAAAAGTGTAAATTATTGAATTGTAATAAAGTGTAAATGAGAGATTATATTGTAAAAAAAGTAAATAACAGTACAAGCATAGATGTATTGTAAAAAAAAGTGTAAATAGAAAGATATATTATAAAAAGTGTAAATGAGTGATGTCCTACATTGTAAAAAAAAAATGTAAATGAGAAATGTAATGTAAAAAAAAAGTTAGATTAGCATTAGGGTTGTTAAACTTTTGGTAAAATAAGCTGGGGGGCTGGTTAAGCTTCCAACTTACGATAAAATAAGCTGGGGGCTGGTTAAGCTTTTCCTAAGTATAAATGAGTGTTTTAAGATAAGCTTACCCTCACAAAGTTCAGAAAATGCAACACAGACCAGCAAAGGTTTTATTTACGTTTGGACGCCGTAATACAAATAGGAGCCAAGGTGCTCTCTCTCTCTCTCTCGATACCCTAAGGTAAACCGACTAACCGTGGAGGACTCACCTGTGGATCAAATTAACCATCAGGGTGTAATTCTGCAAGAAATCGTCGCAGTTGAGTCTCGTTCCGTCCACGACATTAAACTCCTGAAAGATGAGAGAAGCGTTGCATTACTGTAACCAATGATAATGGTTTAGATCTATATCGGCACCCGAAGTCTCGAATACATAAACAAAGGGACGGACCTTTAGCATCTTGTCGCTGTTGGCTTCGGTCTCGCCTTCCTCCGACGAGATGAGTATCGTTCCCTTGCCGTCAGATATCTCGACGTCCGGGGCGACCATATTCAACGCCGACTTGAGGATCTTGTCTTCGAGGGTCCTGACTGTTGTCTTCTCGATGTTGAGGCGGACGCAGAGCTCGGGTTTCTCGGAGCAGACGTAGCACTTGGGGTTGGGTTTGTCGAGAACGCAGGGAACCAATAAACGCTTCCTGGGGTTTGGTTTGCGGTTGAGATAAACCTTGAAGGAGAGAATTGTTGGGTTGTTAGACTGGGGTGTGTCTCTCTCTCTCTCTGTGTGTCTCTCTCTCTCTCTGTAGCTCACTTTCTCTCTCTCTCTCTCTCTCTCTCTCTACCAAACAAAGATACAAACAAACACAAAAACACACACACAAACCACAATACACAAAACACATTGAGATAGGTTAGTGTTTGGTTAGGATAGATTAGTGTTAGGTTAGTGTTAGGTCAGGTCAGTTTAGTGTTTGGTTAGGATAGATTAGTGTTAGGTTAGTTTATGCTAGTGTTAGATTAGGTTAGTGTTAGGTTAGATTAGGTTAGTGTTAGGTTAGATTAGGTTAGTGTTAGGTCAGGTTAGTGTTAGGTTAGGTCAGGTTAGTGTTAGGTCAGGTCAGGTCAGGTTAGTGTTAGGGACAAAGACCACAATCAACGTACAGTTTTACACTCTTCGATCTTTCCCTGCAGAATCTTCATGGCCTCGAGGACAATCAAGCCAGCAATGATGGCGTTAGTTGTGGCGATGGCAGGAACGATGTTACCTGCCATAGCTGTTGACGAGATGGTGAATTAATTGATGTAAATGCCAGAATTGATAATGATAAGTTGTAGAATTAATGAGTCTCAATACCACATTTTTTTTAAGGGATGTACAGTGAGTTCTGCTATAACGCTTGTTTTGACAATGCGAATTGGCTCAAACGCGATTTATGAATAGAAGAATGATATTTGTAAAACACCAACACTTGTTTGCTGTAACGCGATTTTTGTTTACTATTTCTCCAATTTTGTGGTATTAACTGTGAATATGGTAAAGAAGAATATTTCCAAGAAGCGTTCTGGTGATCGCATTCCCGGTGATGATCGTAAAAGAAAGGCTATAACCCTTGAAGAGAAGCTCGATGTTATCAACCTCAAAATCACCCTTCTCCCCCATCAAGTTAAATTCATATTTTCTCAAGGTAAAGTGTTACATATACTGTATGATTTCATTATTAGATATGAATGTAACATTTATTTAGACTGTGCTATCCTTTGTGTTAGGCTAACTACTAAATTTTTTTCGATTTCGAGTAGTAATCTGCACCTAACCCTATTTTCTCCATAAGCCCTGTTATTTCTATTACGCGATTTTCTATAACACGATGTTTTACAAGAACACAACTATCGCGTTATAGCAGAACTGACTGTGCATAGTAAAAAAAAAAATTCCTAACCCAACCCACACTAACTTATCCCCACTCTAGCCTAACCACATCCGGCACAGTAGAGAACTTACACTTAACATCAAAACGAGTCTTCTGCTGGATGCCGAATATGTGAGCGCGTATGTTGGAGCAGGCGGTGACGAAATCCATACTGTCCTTGTCGTCTTTATCCCACACGAGGGTGTCATCGTCTAATATCTTCTGTCGGGAGAACGGTAAGTTAGCTTAGGGTATTCTTGACCGGGTTAGGTTAGGTTTGAATGAATTAGGTTTAGTTACTTTAAATTAGATTAAATTAAGTTAGATTAGATTAACATTGATTATATTAGGTTAAGCCAAGTTAAATTAGATTAAATTAACATCGATTACATTACATTCAGTCAAGTTAACAGATTATATAAAGTTAGATTAGACTAACATTAACTACATTAGGTTAAACAAACTTAACATATATCGAGTTAAATTAGATTAACATCGATTACACTATGTTAAATCAAGTTAAAACCCCCATTTCCCCTCCCCCACAACCCCAGACCAGCGACAAAAACAAAAGCACATCACCTGGAGACGCTCGTACAGGTTACCAACTGAGGTGTTGAAGATGTCTCGACACTCTGTTATTGTCCACGGCCTCTGGTCCTGTATCAGCCCCTCCCCGTCTTCTATCACGTCTGCGGAAACAATAAGTTGCTTAGGGTCAACTGATGATTAAACCCCACTCCCCCGTTGCTATGTTAATTTAATCTTACTTAACCTAATCTAACCTAGTGTATCATAATCTAACCTAACATACCCTAACCTAACCCAGTGTAACCTAACCTAACGTACCCTAACCTAACGTACCCCAACCTAACCTAACGTACCCTAACCTAACGTACCCTAATCTAACCTAACGTACCCTAATCTACCCTAACCCAACATAACCTAACCTAAGATAATGTGGCCTAATACACTATAACCTAACCTAACCTAATGTAAGTTAAGCTAAATTCATTTAACTCAACCTTATGTAAACCAACTCACCCACACACAACACAATCCCACTCACCCACACACAACACAATCCCACTCACCCACACACAACACAATCCCACTCACCCACAACACCCCACTCACCCACACACAACACAATCCCTCCCACCCACCCCACACACACACCTTTATCCTGTATCTTATCCCAGTCAAGTGGTGTCGGCCGCCTGCGTTTCTCCCAGAGTTTATCCATCGACAACAGGTACTGGATGTCATCACTGAACAGCTTACTAAACAACTTCTGCAATAAAACACAAATAAAACATCAATAAAACACACATAAAACATCAACTCTGCAATAAAACACACATAAAACATCAATTCTGTAACAAAACAAATCATACATCAATTAGTGAGTATTGAGTCCAGTTAAATGTTTAGTTAAATTATGTTAAAATTATCCCATACTGATAAAAAAACATTAATTGGTAAAGGAAATCGTCAATGACTCAACCCCATAGTTTATTGATTAGTGAGAAACCTCCATTTAATGAACTATATAGAGATGAAAGTCTATTATATCGAGGGTCTGTTAGATGTTAAACCTCCATTTAATGAACTATATAGAGATGAAAGTCTATTACATCGAGGGTCAGTTAGATGTGAAACCTCCATCTAATGAACTATATAGAGATGAAAGTCCATTATATCAAGGGTCTGTTAGATGTGAAACCTCCATTTAATGAACTATATAGAGATGAAAGTCCATTATATCAAGGGTCCGTTAGATGTGAAACCCCCATCTAATGAACTATATAGAGATGAAAGTCCATTACATCGAGGGTCAGTTAGATGTGAAACCTCCATCTAATGAACTATATAGAGATGAAAGTCCATTATATCGAGGGTCCGTTAGATGTGAAACCTCCATTTAATGAACTATATAGGGAGGAAAGTCCATTATATCAAGGGTCAGTTAGATGTGATACCTCCATCTAATGAACTATATAGAGATGAAAGTCCATTATATCGAGGGTCAGTTAGATGTGAAACCTCCATTTAATGAACTATATAGAGATGAAAGTCCATTATATCAAGGGTCAGTTAGATGTTAAACCTCCATTTAATGAACTATATAGAGATGAAAGTCTATTATATCAAGGGTCCGTTAGATGTGAAGCCTCCATCTAATGAACTATATAGAGATGAAAGTCCATTATATCGAGGGTCCGTTAGATGTGAAACCTCCATCTAATGAACTACATAGAGATGAAAGTCCATCATATAAAGGGTCCGTTAGATGTAGAAACCTCCATTTAATGAACTATATAGAGATGAAAGTCCATTATATCAGGGTCTGTTAGATGTTAAACCTCCATTTAATGAACTATATAGAATGAAAAGTCCATTATATCAAAAAGGAATTGTTAGATGTTAAACCTCCATTTAATAGACTATATAAGTGAAATTCATTATATCAAGGGTCTGTTAGATGTTAAACCTCCATCTAACCAAGACACCTATGGGGAGGAAAGTCTATTTATATCAAGGGTCCGTTAGATGTAGAAACCTCCATTTAATGAACATATCTAGAGATGAAAAGTCCATTATATCAAAGTCTATTGAATGTAAACCTCCGCTGTATTGAACTATATAGAGATGAAAGTCCATTACATCGAGGGTCAGTTAGATGTGAAACCTCCATCTAATGAACTATATAGAGATGAAAGTCCATTATATCGAGGGTCCGTTAGATGTGAAACCTCCATTTAATGAACTATATAGGGAGGAAAGTCCATTATATCAAGGGTCAGTTAGATGTGATACCTCCATCTAATGAACTATATAGAGATGAAAGTCCATTATATCGAGGGTCAGTTAGATGTGAAACCTCCATTTAATGAACTATATAGAGATGAAAGTCCATTATATCAAGGGTCAGTTAGATGTTAAACCTCCATTTAATGAACTATATAGAGATGAAAGTCTATTATATCAAGGGTCCGTTAGATGTGAAGCCTCCATCTAATGAACTATATAGAGATGAAAGTCCATTATATCGAGGGTCCGTTAGATGTGAAACCTCCATCTAATGAACTACATAGAGATGAAAGTCCATCATATCGAGGGTCCGTTAGATGTAAAACCCCAATATAACGAACTATACGGAGAGAGAAGTTCGATATACTCAGGTCCCACAATAGTACAACATCGACGATAAAATAAATAAATAACACCTCCCACCCCAGAGCTGACCCCAAACACGACGTACCTTAGAGTTGTAATCATGCGACGTGGCCCAACCCCGAGTGGACACCCGCTCTACGTTGCCGGTGTCGTTGGCTGCGTCGTCGAGCGCTGACTGTCCGGCCTCTCCCACCTGTTCGGGGTCGGCTGAATCGGGTGACACGTCCTCATCCGGATCTGCTTCCCCAAACAGCTGACTGCGGATGAGATGACGAGAATCAGTGATGAGAAAGTAAACCAAACCTAATTTAACCTGACTTAACCTAAAATAACTGAGTATCTAACGTAAATTAAAGCAACCTTACCTAACTTAACCTAAATTACTTAATCTAATGTAAATTAAAACAACCAAACCTAATTTAACCTGACTTAACCTAAAATAACTTAACCTAACATAAATTAATGCAATCTAACCTAACTTAACCTGACTTAACCTAAAATAACTTAATATAACCTAAATAAAAACAACCAAACCTAAACTAATAAATATATCAAATTAAACTAACCTAACTAGACAAGCTTATCTTAAACCTAACCTAACCAAACCATATTAAACCTCACCTAACTAAACCTACCCTAGGCTAGATTTAAAAAAAAAAAAAAAAACCCCAGCCAATCAAACGCCCGAATCACACCACACCCCAAAACACCCACCGCCGACGAACCAATCAACAAAAAGCATTCCCACACCCCTCGTCGACGACTTACTTAAACAGATGCTTAGCCCAGACAATGCAGTGAATGGGTTCTGATGGGGTGTTCCTGATTGTACAGCCAGGGAAGGTCTTCTGAGTGGGTTTAGGCTGGCATTCATAGCACTCTGTTAAACCTTTCTGTATCACCTGATGGCCAATGGGAAAAAAATATTGTTGGATCATGTGAAGATTAGACACCCCTGGTTTATTTTACATTTTATTCCTACTTATGGTTAGGTTAGATATCTACAGCTTATTTCACCTGATACCCCAGCTTATTTTACTTGATACCTCTCTTATTTCACCTGATACCACAGCTTATTTTATCTGATACCCCAGCTTATTTTATCTGATACCTTATTTCACCTGATACCACAGCTTATTTTACCTGATACCACAGCTTATTTCACCTGATACCCCAGCTTATTTCACTTGATACCCCAGCTTATTTCACCTGATGATTAAACACCATAAAACCACCTGTAGGGTTAGGTTAAGTTAGGTTAGCATTTAATCATTAGGTGAAGTAAACAAAGAAATCTAAAAAGAAAATGTGGTAAGAAATAATTTACTGTATTTATAAACATGAGAGAGAGAGAGAGAGAGAGAGAGAGAGAGAGAGAGAGAGAGAGAGAGAGAGAGAGAGAGAGAGAGCAACGACATAATAGACCCAACGTACGGTAACTTGTCCCAAATACCCGGCCGTTCCACTTTCAACTAAGGGGACACCAGCCGCCAGACACATGCGGTTGACGTGATTCCGAGCGGCTCTGTTGTCCAGCGCGTTCATGACGACGGTGAACTTTTGGTAGAACGGAACGCCATACGTGGACCTGTGAAAACGAGAACAATAACATTAGGTTGAGTATTAAATGTCGTTACTTATAGTCGAATATTATTTTCAATGGAGGTGTTGGTCTTATGATGATTAAGACACCCTAGTTTATTTGACCAGTTTAGGCAACCAAGATAGGTTAGGTTAGATTAGGATTAGGTTGGGTTAGGTTAAGCTAGGTTAGAATTAGGTTGGGTTAGGTTAAGCTAGGTTAGAATTAGGTTGGGTTAGTTTTGGATTAGATTAGGTTAGATTAGGGTGGTTAATCTTCAGGTGTAATAACGTAGGTTAGGTTAGGATTAGGTTGGATTAACTTAGTATTGGTTAGATTAGGTTAGGATTAGGTTGGATTAACTTAGTATTGGTTAGATTAGGTTAGGATTAGGTTGGATTAACTTAGTATTGGTTAGATTAGGTTGGATTAACTTAGTATTGGTTAGATTAGGTTAGGATTAGGTTGGGTTAGTTTAGTATTGGTTAGGTTAGGGTTAGGTTAGATTAGCATTAGGGGGATTAATATTCAGGTGAAATAAGCAACGGGCGGATATTCTTCAGGCCATCCTTACTTGGTGATGGTGTCGTGATAAGCCGTAATTTTAGCTTTGGGGTTGAAACGGAGGGCAGACTCACGAGCCACCTCTGACTTGCTGCGTCCGACGTGTTGCTTGTGGAAGAGGAATTGACGGTTTAAGTTGCTGACGTCGATTGTGTCTAGGTCAATCTGCGGACAAAACACGAGGTAAACACAACTGCTCGAATATGTATAAATATTAGTCTTACAAATTTCCAGACGTAAATATCGACAAGAAATCCATACATACATACATACGACCCCAAACATGTCAAGGATTAAAAAAAAAACCACGAAAATACCTGGCAAACAAACATTAAACAAACACAAATATACGACCCCCATACAAACACACACACACTTGACCCCCATACAAACACACACACACTTGACCCCCATACAAACACACACACACTTGACCCCCATACAAACACACACACACACTTGACCTCCCCATACAAACACACACACACTTGACCCCATACAAACACACACTTGACCATACAAACACACACACACCCTGACCCCTATACAAACACACACACACTTGACCCCCATACAAACACACACACACTTGACCCCATACAAACACACACACACATTCTGACCCCATACAAACACACACACACTGACCCCATACAAACACACACACTTGACCCCATACAAACACACACACACTTGACCCCCATACAAACACACACACACTTGACCCCCATACAAACACACGACCCTATAATAAAACAATTAACCACACAATAAACAACAATACTCCATCAAAATCCAACCAAACACAACGAAAACTCAACCAAACACCAAAAAACACAAAAAAACACAAAATATAAACTTGAATCAACATCATGGTAGCCTCTCCTTCCCACCTTATCTTCTCTCACTTCTCCCTCACTTACCACTTCTATCTCCTCAAATCCCGTCAATACTAAATTCTTGAGGAGTTCACAGCCAATTCCTCCAGCACCGACGACCAAAAGTTTACAAGATTTGATAGAATTACGGAGATTTTCCTCATATATGCCGGGAATGTGAGTAGCCATATTGTTCTCTCCTCCGTGGTCGGTTACACACTGAAGTCTCCTTGTTGATGTTTTAAGTTGGTGTTCGGCGATCTAATCCGGATTTAATATGACGTCATATTGTAGGTAGGTTTTTTTTTTTATTGGTTGAGAGTTGGTTATGACGTTTTTTTAGAGTAGTGTTTGATTGGTTACGATTTATTATGTCGTCATTAAGGTAGTCGGTGGTGTTTGATTGGACAAGAATTGTTTATGACACTATTAAAGTGGCGTTTCATTGGTTATGACGTCTCTAAAGCTAATGTTTGATTGGTTATATATATTATGACGTCCTTAAGATGGCGTTTCATTGGTTATGACTATTATGTTGTCCTTTATTTGGCTTGAATGGTTATGACTTTTATGACATCATAAAACTGTTGTTTGATTGGTTATGATGTCCTTATGGTCATGTTTAATTGGTTACGCCTTTAGCATGACGTTTTTATGACAGTAGTTTGAGTTAGCGTTCGCAGACCAAATCCGGATTCCCTTAAACGTCATTATGGAAGCAATAGGCAAGTAGATACTGTATATCTGTTTATCTATCTACATATGCATATATGTATGTATGTATGACGGCAAAAGGTTAAATAAAACCAACAATTAACACATATTCTTATTATGACATAACCCTTAGAGCAGTAACATCAATAAAAGGCTAAATTAACATAAAAACCCAGATGGTAAAAAAATCTTTGAAAATCTGACATGAAAAATATAATTATACCTCATTATACCTAAATTATTATATACCTCATTATACCTAAGTTATTATACACCTCATTATACCTAAGTTATTATACACCTCATTATACCTAAGTCATTATACACCTCATTATACCTAAGTTATTATAGATAATGGTACTGGATTTTGTAACCATTTTTTTGACTTTCCTGACATTTATATAATAAGCAAAAATATCATAACTAGTAAGTATATATAATTAATTAGTAAAAACTCGCATTATTATTATTATTCATTATTATTATTGTATATTAAAAAAGATTAGTTCTTAGAATATAATTGTTTTTGATAAGGAATGAATTAGGATTTAGATAAGGCTAGGATTAGGTTGGATTAGGTTAGATTAGGTTAGGATTAGGTTAGGTTGGATTAGGTTGGATTAGGTAAGCTTTGAGAGGGTTAATCTTAGTGTCAAATAAGCTGGAATCCCGAATCATCACTTAATCCTAATAAATACGTTCACACACACCAGATATTAATGGGTAAACACCGCCTTATTTTATTGTCGATTTATAAATGTTTAAGGTTTATGTAGTAATTATTATTGAATATTTAACACAATGAAGTTCTTATTGGGATTGTGCTGTCGTTAATTCCATTCTATTTGCATGTTTGTACTCTGTAATGCATAGCTGTACTTTATAATGCATATATGTACTTTGTAATGCATAGCTGTACTTTGCTATGTATATATTTACTCTCTAATGCATATATGTACTTTGCTATGCATATATTTACTCTCTAATGCATATATGTACTTTGTTATGCTTATCTGTTCCCTGTTATGCATATTTCATCTGTGTTATACATTTCTGTTCAATGTTATGCATACAATTCCTGTAACAACATTAATAAATCAGTTCAGTAACAGCAATATGCCACACTAACAAGCCAATTGCGTGGTGTGTCATCGTAACCAATCACTGTGTAGCAAGAGCCAGTGTTTTCGATGCCAGGCCACAGATGTGATGGTATATGGTGCATGATAGCTGGTGGACTGCTTGTGTCTGGGTTAACAATATGCCCAATCCAATGCCCAGTATGCCTCCGATCTTGACAACCTTATTCACAACCTGTTGAGATAGAAAGAAGTTAGGTTAGCATTAGTCTTAGGTTAGGTTACACAAATCTAGATATCTTAAAGACCCCCAGAAGAAACTTACTCTATCTTGCCACTCCTTATTGGCTATACAGAGGTGATATCGCACACGGGTAAATGTCACCATAGTGTAGAGAGGTGTCCAAGTGCGTGGGAAGAGGGAGCTTAAGAGGTCATCCCATTTCTTCCTCAATAAGAAGAGTTTTGAGTTGACAAGATCCCGCATCTGGAAATGTAATGTAGTTTTAGGTGGTATATTGTCTGTCTCTCTGTTTATCTGTCTAATTCTCTGCCTTATATTTCTCACTTTATCTCACACACACTTTCTCTCTGTCTCAAACACACTCAAACTCTCTCCTCACACACACACCACCCAAAAAGGCCCATAGTCTCACCACAATGTAATTATACATAGCCAGGTCGACAATAGCCTCTGCATCTGGATTTCTCTGTTTCGTATATGCTGGCAGGACTTGACTCAGGTCATCATTATACAGCTCTAACAACTCATCAAACACCACGCAGTCTTCCATACCCTGTGGGAGAGATAAATACTAGTTTAATATACCATGTGGGGACTCTTTATACCGTGTGGGGACTTTATATACCATGTGGGAGCTGTTTATATACTAGGTGTTTATATCAAGTACTAGATGGATTACACTAAGTAGCAACCATTATTAAACTTATTTTTCTTCATTGGTGGAGAATTAAATGCAGAAATAAAGACATAAATACCAAAATCAAATAAATAAATCCCCATAAATCCCTCCAAAATAACAAATAAATCCCCATAAATCCCTCCAAAATCACAAATAAATCCCCATAAATCCCTTCAAAATCACAAATAAATCCCCATAAATCCCTCCAAAATAACAAATAAATCCCCCTAAAACAACTTAATCCCCCTAAAACAACTTAATCCCTAAACAAACGAACAAACTCAACAAACCCACGTACACAGTTCATTCCCTGGCCGTAGAATGGTACCATGGCGTGGGCAGCATCACCCATGATCAGTGATGTAGAGCCAATATGGTAAGGCGAACACTGAAACAAGTAAAGATATATTAACCTGTGTTTAATTATCTTACCTGTGTTTAATTATCTTACCTGTGTTTAATTATCTTACCTGTGTTTAATTATCTTACCTGTGTTTAATTATCTTACCTGTGTTTAATTATCTTACCTGTGTTTAATTATCTTACCTGTGTTTAATTATCTTACCTGTGTTTAATTATCTTACCTGTGTTTAATTATCTTACCTGTGTTTAATTATCTTACCTGTGTTTAATTATCTTACCTGTGTTTAATTATCTTACCTGTGTTTAATTATCTTACCTGTGTTTAATTATCTTACCTGTGTTTAATTATCTTACCTGTGTTTAATTATCTTACCTGTGTTTAATTATCTTACCTGTGTTTAATTATCTTACCTGTGACTCATTAATTAACATACCTTTACGGAGATCATAGGAAGCGCTTTATTGGCAAAGAAATCTCGAACTAATTTGTCTCTGCCAATCGAATCAACGGCGTCCGGGTAGTTCTCCTGGAAGATAAATAAAAAATTAATTATCACAGGACTGATTATTGAGAATAAGTGAAATTATAGGTATATTATCTATCTATATATATGTTTGTTTCTCTCTGTGTCTCTGTTTCTCTCTGTCTCTCTCTGTTTCTCTCTGTCTCTCTCATTCATTGTTCCTTCCTCCCTCTCTCACGCACGCACACACTTCACTTTTATCTTCTTCACCACTGATCGGGTCATTAGCCGCTTGATCAGTTACGTCTCTGTTACACACTGTTGGCAAGTACTGGGCATGTACCGGCTCTCTGTTACACACTGTTGACAAGTACTGGGCATGTACCGGCTCTCTGTTACACACTGTTGACAAGTACTGGGCATGTACCGGCTCTCTGTTACACACTGTTGACAAGTACTGGGCATGTACTGGCTCTCTGTTACACACTGTTGACAAGTACTGGGCATGTACCGGCTCTTGTTACACACTGTTGGCAAGTACTGGGCATGTACCGGCTCTCTGTTACACACTGTTGACAAGTACTGCATACGGCTCTGTTACACACTGTTGGGCATTGTACTGGCTCTCTGTTATACACTGTTGACAAGTACTGGCATGTACGCTCTCTGTTACACACTGTTGGCAAGTACTGGGCATGTACTGGCTCTCTGTTACACTGTTGACAAGTACTGGGCATGTACCGGCTTCTTTACATTTCAAGTACTGGGCATTGGCTCTCTGTTACACACTGTTGGCAAGTACTGGGCATGTACCGGCTCTGTTACACACTGTTGACAAGTACTGGGCATGTACTGGCTCTCTGTTACACACGTTGACAAGTACTGGGCATGTACCGGCTCTCTGTTACACACTGTTGACAGTACTGGGCATGTACTGGCTCTCTGTTACACACTGTTGACAAGTACTGGGCATGTACTGGCTCTCTGTTACACACTGTTGACAAGTACTGGGCATGTACTGGCCTCTGTTACACACTGTTGACAAGTACTGGGCATGTACCGGCTCTCTGTTACACACTTGCAAGTTGTGTTCTTTGGCAAGTACTGGGCATGTACCGGCTCTGTTACACACTGTTGACAAGTACTGGGCATGTACTGGCCTCTGTTACACACTGTTGACAAGTACTGGGCATGTACCGGCTCGTTACACTGTTGACAAGTACTGGGCATGTACTGGCTCTCTGTTACACACTGTTGACAAGTACTGGGCATGTACTGGCTCTCTGTTACACACTGTTGACAAGTACTGGGCATGTACTGGCTCTCTGTTACACACTGTTGACAAGTACTGGGCATGTACTGGCTCTCTGTTACACACTGTTGACAAGTACTGGGCAATGTACTGGCTCTCTGTTACACACTGTTGACAAATTATGGGAATGTACTGGCTCTCTGTTACACACACTGTTGACAAGTACTGGGCATGTACTGGCTCTCTGTTACACACTGTTGACAAGTACTGGGCATGTACTGGCTCTCTGTTACACTGTTGACAAGTACTGGGGAATGTGCTGGCTCTCTGTTACACACTGTTGACAAGTACTGGGCATGTACTGGCTCTCTGTTACACACTGTTGACAAGTACTGGGCATGTACCGGCTCTCTGTTACACACTGTTGACAAGTTACTGGGCATGTACTGGCTCTCTGTTACACACTGTTGACAAGTACTGGGCATGTACTGGCTCTCTGTTACCTGTTGACAAGTACTGGGAATGTACTGGCTCTCTGTACACACTGTTGACAAGTACTGGGCATGTACCGGCTCTCTGTTACACTGTTGACAAGTACTGGGCATGTACTGGCTCTCTGTTACACACTGTTGACAAGTACTGGGAATGTACTGGCTCTCTGTTACACTGTTGACAAGTACTGGGCATGTACTGGCTCTCTGTTACACACTGTTGACAAGTACTGGGCATGTACCGGCTCTCTGTTACACACTGTAGAGTACTGGGCATGTACCGGCTCTCTGTTTTTGACAAGTACTGGGCATGTACCGGCTCTCTGTTACACACTGTTGGCAAGTGCTGGGCATGTACTGGCTCTCTGTTACTTTGGCAAGTACTGGTATACTGGCTCTCTGTTACACTGTTGACAAGTACTGGGCATGTATGGCTCTCTGTTACACTGTTGACAAGTACTGGGCATGTGGCTCTCTGTTACACTGTTGTAAATTACTGGGCATGTACCGGCTCTCTGTTACACACTGTTGACAAGTACTGGGCATGTACTGGCTCTCTGTTACACACTGTTGACAAGTACTGGGCATGTACTGGCTCTCTGTTACACTGTTGACAAGTACTGGGCATGCACCGGCTCCTGAAAGTACCTGAACCTGCTCAGTGTTGGTCAAGTCTTGTCTTGAAACAGCTCACCTCAGTGCCGTCACAACACTCTCTGGCAGATTGTTCCAGAATTCTACATACACACACACACACCCCCCCCTCAGCACCCCCACCCACACACACACTCCTCCCCACACACACACACAAACACCCCACCCACACCCCACACACCTCCCCCCACACCTCCCCCACACACCCCTCAGCACCCCCACCAAAAACCCACCCCACCCACACACACACCCCCACACACACCCACCCACACACACACCACCTTAAGAAATCAATAATATTTCAGGTGTGGTCAGCTCATCGAAGATCTCAAACAGCATAAACAAAGTAACAGTCCAGGATTTGTCTTGGTTAGGTAAAAGCAATCATCATGTATTTCCTCGAGGCCAGATATGCAGAGATGGTTAGGAGGCATTGCAAACTGTGGGGGGGATGTGGATAGAGGATAGATAGATGGAGAAATGATAGATAGTAGAAATATAGATAAATATATAGATAGATACAGATAAATATACCTCTGACATGAAAAACTATTCTGTTCTACTATCAATTACTTCATAAACTATCCTCAATCACTATAATTTACTTCAATCACTGTAAATCAAATCAATCACTGTAACTCGCGTCTAAACTCTTCTCAATCACTGTAACTCGCGTCATAAACTCTTCTCAATCACTGTAAATCAAATCAATCACTGTAACTCGCGTCATAAAGCTCTTCTCAATCACTGTAAATCAAATCAATCACTGTAACTCGCGTCATAAACTCTTCTCAATCACTGTAAATCAAATCAATCACTGTAACTCGCGTCATAAACTTTCTCAATCACTGTAAATCAAATAATCCTTAACTCGCGTTCGCTCTTCTCAATCACTGTAAATCAAATCAATCACTGTAACTCGCGCCATCTTCTCAATCACTGTAATCAAATCAATCACTTAACTCACATCATTAACTCACTGTAACTTACCTCATTATCAGGTGTAGCAGGAATACATAGTTCCACATATATCCGTGAGGTATATATTGCTGTGAGTAATTAAAGTGAGTCGTTTCATCATTTCTTTTCGCATGGATGAGTAGGCTCCGTCACAGCCAATTAGGAGGTCAGCTTCAACATGGAGTTCTTCCTTTGTTTGGTACTGGAAAATAGTGGGGATTTTTTATTTAATTTATTGTTTATGAGGATAGTTTAGGTTAAGGTTGGAGTTGATTGGGTTGGTGTGGACTGGAGTTGAGTTGGGTTGGTTTTGGGTAGGAGTAAGGTTAGATTACGTTATGTTTGATGAGAAGTTATTCTCTATACCACAATGACCTGGAAAGACCAACTCACTTAAGGAAGATCATGGTGCGCCTAGGGAAGTCAGCAGCCGTCAGGAGTTTATGACAAAATGGACATGAACATTGGGAAATTCCTCAGCCTTTTGTCAGTAGTTCTTCATTTCCGGTACCGTCGACCAACTGAGTAAATGCACTGAGGAGAATTATTAGTTAGTTACTGTGATGATAATAATAATAATAATAGTACCCACATTCTACTGAGTGTCTGTCTATGTTTTGCGATAATTATAATTTATACATCATAAAACGTATAGAAAATGGCATCTCTGCATCTAACTACGATAAAACGACACCCTCACCCAAAAATATAAATAAATTCACATAAAATAACGATTAAATCACCAACCTTGCCATCCTTATTGTACTGTATGTGGATTTAATGGTGTTATCTTTATTGTGTGGATCATCTGGCTTCATTTGGAATACCATGATTCTTGATGATTTTGTCTTCTTTAAACCCATTGTCTTGAGTCAGCCCGTCCGCGGATGCTCATTGCTAAGTTAATGCTCCGCCCTGGTACGTGTTCAGCAAGCGAATGTCTGTAGGGTAATGACATAGCTCAGGTTGACAGATTTTTGTGGGCTATTTGGAAGGGTGATGTAAGCTTATTTAATCTAATTCATATCCTAACTCTACTTTAACCTAATCTAATTCTACGTTAATCTGCTCTACTTTAACCTAATGTAACTCTACCTTATCTAACTCTACTTTAACCTAATCTAATTCTGCTTTAACCTAACCTAAGTCTAACCTTACTTAAACTAACATGTAACCTAACATAGGCCTAACCTAATATTAACCTAACTTAAGCTAAAGCTAAACAAGTTAAACTCGACACTAAGCAAAACCTAACCTAACCCCAAAATTAAGATTAGAGTAATTAATTTCAAATCATAGGTGAAATAATCTTAGGGTGTATAATCCTCAAATGACTACACTGTAAAACGACCTTACCATCACGGTATTCGAACAGGTGTACTTCATATCCTCTACGAGCATAAAACAAGCTTTCAGACTCCCAACCTGACAAATAACAAGAAAATTAACATAAAATTTAATATGTATTTGTATCAATATTCATTTATCGAGACGCTAACGAAAATCTATATAAATTGGTATTTTTTATGACTTATTTTTTCTTGTTTTATTTTATTATATATAAATAGAATTAGTGAGGTTAAATACAGGTGAGTCAATAGTTGTTCGTTCTGTGGTGTACGTGGGCGTGGGCGTGAATACCGGTATTATTGCCAGAAGGTAACGACACGGTCGTACACGTCAGTTAACGCCAAAATCAAATGATTCATATTACGCTCAATAGCCCACAAAACATGTACCTCTGCCTTTATTTTGAG